GCGCCGTGGGGCGGCTGGGCTAGGCTCTGAGCCCAAGTCCGCGGAGGCGGCGGGGCGGCGTCGCCCGCTACCGGCCTCCCGCGCTCCCGCCCGCTGCGGTTAGACCTTCCGCGCCCGTCTCGCCCACAAAGCCTCGCCGCCAAGCACCCTCCGCCCTCTCCCCAAAAGCGAAACCAACCTAACCTGCCTTTGGACGCTTGCGTTAATGATCTGTGTGCGGGGTCGAGACTCCCCCTCTAGCTGCAGCCCTTTGAAGTCCCAGGAAAACTTAGGGAAGAAAGTGGAACCATTGCCTCTCCTCAGGAGGCAAGGGCAAACAGGTAGTTAAGTGACTTCAGCTTGTCTCAAAGGTGTCTTCCTTTTTATTTTATTTTTAAAATTACCTCAATTCAGATCTTAAAAGTTCCCAGACAAACCCACTTTCTACCAGCAGAGAGTTGTGTCTTCCGAAAGCCGCCCCATTCCATTACCCAAGCCTTCAGCAGCCTTATTAAGTCTCCTCGTCCCTTCGGCCTTGCCAGGTGCTGTCACGTTTCCGAATCTCCCAGAAGCCACCCCAAAACTTGTCTTTCCTCTATTCGATGGCCTTTCCCTGGGGTCGAAATCTGTGTCCAAAAGGCACCTGGCACTTGCCGAGCATTTGGTTTTCTAAGTAATTGTGCTTGTAAATAACAGCTAATGTCCAATAGGCTGTCCTAGGTTCCGGATGCTCCTTCTGACAAACCTGCCCTTTCCCACCTCTGCGCATTACCTGCCGGCAAGAGTTTCGCAGGGTGGAGCAGACGCCGGGCCCCTTCCCCGCCCCTTGCCCGCGCTCCTCCGCCCCTTTCCCCGCCCCCGTGCGCTCGGGCCGCTAGTTCCCTGCACGGGCAGAAGATGGCTCCTGCGCGTCTGGGAGCTAGGCGAGGCCTCACTGCGCCGACTCCGCCGGGTGCCCGCCTGAGCCGACGCTGGCCGTGGGCCCTCCCTCCTGCCTGCCCTCAGCATCGTGCCAGGTCCTCCTCCACAAAGATTCACCGCCTACTTGGCCTCCACCGGTGACTTTGCCTTTCGCCCTCAACTCTGACCCTCCTTGCCCACCTCACACAGCGCCTCACTACGGGACCCCTCCTTCCCGCCCCAGCAAAAACTAGCACCCAAACACCTGAAACGCCCCCGACTGCTTCTGCGTGGTTTGCATTTTATACCTCACACAGATATTTATTCTCCTTTTCCTTGCAGTGAACAGTGCCGTGACCTGCCCCCCCACCCCCCAAGTTGTAACCCTTTTAAGTCCTGGGAAAGCTTGAAGAAAGATTGAGTCTGAAAAGCAAGCTCTCCAGACCGTTTACTTTTTTCCAGCAGAAAAGTTACACTTTGGTGACTTAAGACCATCGCTAGGTATGTATTGTTTTTAAATCCAGACTCAACACGTTCCCAGAAAGCCCTTCCTGCCCACCGCACCACCGTGTTGCGCCTTCAGCCACCTGCTAGGATGGCAGTGAGAGCTGCGGAGAGACAACCACCCCAGAAAAGACGGGAGCCCTCAGTAGCCTTTATGCGCCCCTTCTAGCCTCCGTCACCTTTCTGAATCCTGCAGATTTCTGAATCCTGCAGGAGACGTCCTAGCTTTTGGTTGTTTTCCCACTGGACAGCCAGCTCCCTGGGGTGGAAATCCACGTCCCTTTGTTTCCTAAGGCACCTGGAGCCTGGGTGGGCATTTTTAAGCACTTGGACTTGTAACTAACCACGAAAGGCCAGTGGCCTGGCTAGTTTCAGGGTGCTTTCACACCTGGCTTGCTCCTTGTGACAAACCTGCCTTTTCTAAACCCACCCCTCACCCCAGTCCTTCCTGTTTTATGCTCTGCTTTCTGCTTCCTGACCACAAAAGAGGAAAAATAGGGAGCCACTTCCCTTCTGCCCAGGGAGGGAGAGCATGTCCTTACTCATTACGTTGTCTGTCATCTCTTCATTTTCCGGGGGACTGTAGACTGGAGCTCTCTGGCGAGGCACCTCTCGCTGTTCCCATTCTTCTCCTTCCCTGGCCTCCTGTTCCACATAGAGTGGAAGTGGAGTCCTGGGGGCTCGGCCCTGAGTTCCAGGGAGTCTTCCCCGAAGTCGGCTTCGGTGGTCCATGTTGCTGGCTGGACAAATAGCCACTAAGCCTCAGTAAATTCTAGACCCTGACGTGGGTCTCTTACGTTTGGGAACTGGGAGAGGAAGGTTAATGGGAGAGCGTTACTTCCCAAGCTGAGAGGCCCCAGTTGGCAGCAGGGGCTGCCTACCAAGTGGGATGGAGTGAACTTCCCACCCACTGGAGAGAGTGGCCTGGCTGGCCACCCCCAAGTGTCCCTCAGCTTCACTGGAACCCCTGGGCAGCTGACATTCTGGGTGCAGTTGCTCTGAATCCCTTCGTCCAATGACATTTCTCAGAGCCTGTGGGAGCATTGTGCTGTCACGGTAACATCACAGGAGAGCTGGGGGGGGGGCTGCCCCCCAAGGCACACACCCTCCTGTGATGGCCGCTGTCCATGTTAAAAACACAAAACCATCAGGTCTATATTTAGGGTGCACCTTAGAAACACCTAGGAACTTAAAAACATTTCAGTACAGCCACCAAGCCCCAGATATGATTTCAAAGGTCTTTGCGGGGGGGGGGGTGTCACAAGCACCCATCCCCGATGGAGATGAAGAACACAGCTGGTTCGAGGTTCCACTCAGCTCGGCCTTGCAGCCTGGGGAGGTTGATTTAGCCTCTCTGGGCCCTGCAGAGGGAGATATTAATACCTTCCCCATGTTGTGAAACTGATCTGATTTCACAAGGGCAAAACCTGTCTTGAATGTGGGCCCCACTTAGGGATTCACTTCCAGTGCTTACGATGGGAGGAAGGCCATCACCGGGAGGCGGCAGTAACAAAACATTTATGTCCCTGCGGTAGCAGACTAAAGCTCCAGTCACAGTTACAGGCATTATTCAATGGTCACCTAAATGTTTAAATGTAAATTTGGCCACACACTGTTTCTGCTCTCTGATAGGTGCCAGAGAGAGCAAGGGCATGGGGGTGGGGGTGGAGAAGGGACACCTCACATGGGTGGGCAAGTTGCTGAAGGGCCCGTGGCTCTGTGATATGAAGAGCCTGGTGTCATTTGCAGCTTCCTTGGAAGACCTCAGAATGCCACTGTTTCCCCTGATGTGCTACTTAGAGGCTCTCAGTCTGCGACCCTTTAGTGACCCAAGCCTGTGTCAAAGCCCTTCTGTGCCCAGTGTGATTCACTTGGCTGTTTTTCCTTTTATGGTGACCTCAAGAAATTGTCTTCTGGAATTCACATTTGGCCCCTGGAAACACAGGTTTTTCTGCATTGGATGGGAGTTCTCTTTCAACCTAAGACTTTCATTTTGCTGCCCTTTCTTCCAGGGACGTTTCCAGCCCCAGCCTTTAGGCTTCACTTGTGTGCGTCAGACATGATTCCTATGATCCTCAGTCAACATTAGCCAAACCTTGTAAAACTTTTGGTCACTTGCTGTCGTAGCATTTGTCCCACTCATTCTAGAAGTTCTCCACCCAGGGATATCACAAGAACATTCAGTCTCTGGAGATGCTTATGTGGGAGAAAACTGAGGCCTGCCCAAATTACCAGCGCCACCTTAACTGAGCTTTGCGACTACCTCCTTGGAAGCTGATCTTGTAGCTCCAGTTGAATTTGATGACAGCAGCAGCATAACATCTCACCTGCAGCTTCAAGTGTTGCCTTGGGCCACAGACATGCAGCTTAACAGTTCTCGAGTTCCTGAGCCACACAAACTGTGAGTTTGATAATTGTTTATTATTTAACTGTGAAGTTTTTTTCAAATGCAAGTCACATACATCACTTACATCATCATTGTCACCATTTGAAAGTGTACATTTCAGTTGTTTTTCGTATTTTCACTGTTGTGCAATCATTGCCGCTCTCTCATTCCAGAACATTTCCATCACCTCAAAATGATACTTCAGACCTCCTAGCAGCTAATCTCAGTTTCCCCCACTCCTGCCACCTGTTATCCAGTAACTCTGACTCTACAGATTTACCTGTTGTGCATATTTGCTATAAATGAAAACCATACAATATGTAGTCTTTTGTGAATTCTTTCATGTTTCACCATTTTTTCAAAGTTCATCCACATTGTAGCATGAGTCAGTAATCCTTTTTTTACAAGAAGATTCTTTAATGAACAGCTTTAGGTTCACAACACAATTGAGAGGGAGGTACAGAGCTTTCCCATAAGTCCCCTGCCTGCAGTCATGTATAGCCTCACCCCATTATCAAAGCACTTAGTAGATGGAACTTTTTTTTGTGGTTACCATGGAGGAATGTACACTGCAGACAGCCCCCCAAAGTGCCCCCATGGCACCCACCAGGGTCTAAGAGTTTGATTTGTGCAATTCCAAGCGGGACTGTGTCAAACTAAAGAGCTTTTGTACAGTGAAAGAAACTACCAGAAAACCAAAAGGCACCTGCTGATGGGGACTCTGACCGGAATAGCCCGTGTTGGCTTAGCGAGAGTCTGATTGCGCCTGGGGAAGGGCATTGGTGGGGTCTGGCTTTGTGATCAGATCTTTGTCATCTAATTCCTATACAGTGTTCCCTGTTTTCATGGTGGGAGAGAATTTTCCATTGTTTCCACAAGGAAGGAGCTCAGGACTTACCAGTGGGCCTGGCCATTCCCTCAGGCAAAACTTCCAATCCTGTAAGAGAGGCTTTTCTCTCCATCATTAGAAGCTGAGAGTCACAGTTAACGAGATTTGGCATGGATTCAAGTGGAGTTACTGGAGCTACCCTTTCTCCATTAGCTGACACCATGTCCCCAGGACAGACATGTGAGCGGGGAGGTCACTGTGGCAC